AAATTTATGATAATATTTACCCTGTCTCTTATACACATAGATGTGTATAAGATATAGGTTTTGGTGGATTTCTGACAAATGGATGAACTAAAACCAAGATTCGTAAGTACGAATCATGGTTTATTTTATTATTATTATTTTATTATAATTTTGAATTAGCAATATTTATTTGTAATTTAGATAGATGATAATAATAATAATATAATTATAAAGTTTTTAAGCATTTAATTAATAAATACATTTAATAAATTTGATAATAAAAATTGAAATAAATTTAGAAAAAAATAGTCCGATTTTTGTCCGATTTAAGTTCTGAAGTACATTTGATTGACTGTCTGAATTTAGTATGATTTAGTTCTGATTTATGTCCGATTTAAGTTCTGAAGTACATCTGATTGGCAGTCAATCGGATAACAATCGGAATATATTTTTTTTGTAAAAATCGGACATATTTTAGCCGTAATTCGACCTAAAATCGAATATCTGATTTTTAGCCGATTTGCCTTATTTCGACTAGTGTATTTTTAGCTGATTTTAATTAAGTAATCTAAGCAAGCAAATTGAATAAAAACAACTTTACTATACCTGTATTATTATATTAGTATTAATATAAATAAATAAAAGAGTAATGTAAAAAATTAAATCTTCCTATAATCCTTATAGAATTTCTTCACTTTTAGTAAAATAGCAAGTTGATTTAATCAGGCTGTATTTAAATTGCAAAAGTCATTTAAATCTACTGGATTTTTAGATTATTAAATGTATTTATTTATAAAATACTATATAAAGAGTTAGTATTGAAATGGTATTAGATAACATATACATGTAGCTAAAACCTCTATGAAGCTGGACAAGGTTTCGGACTTTCAGTAATTTAATTATAATAAATTATTAAAAACTATCCAGAAATCCATTTGAAACTCCAAAGACTTTATATTATAGTTTCGGCTGGATGTAGAGATTAATTTTTATCATTTTTTAACTTAATTTTGATTTAAAGATGTGGCCGAAAATCACGTGAAAAGGTTTCGGCTACAAGTATAAGATAACATACTTCAAATTTTACTTTTATACTATTCATCTAATTCCATTAGTAAACTAATAATACTAATTTTAACAGATTTTTTGGTGATAAAACTGGAAAAAATGGAAAATACACCAAGTTTCTATCATTTTTACTCCTCAAATATCAACTGATAATAAAGAAGAAGTCTGCTCTTCAAGTGGCCATTTTGTCAACTATTACTTTATGAAAAGACTTTCATAATACTTCCAAAAAAAATAATACTTTATATAATTAAAATAAAATTATTTTTTACAAAGATAAATCTTTTATAATTTAATACTATAAAAAATTGTAAACTATAAGTTTATTTTTTTTAAAAAAAAATGGCTAATTGATATATGTATTTATAATTATATTTTAATATTTAATACTTAACATTAATATTAAAAGTATTAATTTATTTACTTATTTGAAATTTTGAAAGATTTTTATTATCATATATTACAGAATGTATAATGGTTTTACTGTATATTATTATGTTAATTATTAAATTTTTTTTTTTACAGAAGAATAAATAATTAAATAGATGATTCTATAAATTACATTAACTAAATATACAAGTATACATTAAAGTTATCAGCAAAATTAATAGAATTAATGAATAATTGCTAATAATATATCCGCCACTACCCATGGAAAACTTAATAAAATGTTTTCACCTTGATCTGGATATTCTTCTTGGTTATACGTGACATAATACCAGGCTGAAGCTTTTGCTTTTGTTTCATCATTTATTGGTATGGTCACATGTAAACTAAACGGTGTAACATCATCCATATCACCGTCATCATTTGTATCTTGCCCTCCTAGTCCCATTAAGAATTGTTTACGACAATAGTAAATAATAAATGATACGGTTCCACTAATCGATTCTCTTATATCTTGGCTCTTCCTACCCTCTACCTGTCTTCCTAATAATTGTGCTGCTATAATTTCAGCTTCAGTTTTCACTTTGTATTTTTTCATTAAATGTCTAATTTCATTGTTGTAATATTCACGGTAAATCATAGCTTCTTCCACATATTGTTCATATCCGTCAAATAAAAACTCTTCATTTAAAATTATATTCTCTACATCATAGTTTAACAAAGAAACATTCTCGGATTTGTCAAGATGAATGTTTCGGTACAATTTGCCGAGTATTTTTTCGGATTTATAAGATTTCTTATGATCTTTTTCCATAAAGTCTGGATATTCTTCAATATTAGGTAAAGTTTCAGTTACTGGAATCCCAGTTTTACTAAAATCGACTGCTTTAGAGTGCTATTTATCATAAAGAAATAATAAAATATTAAAAGCGTAATTAGAATTATCTGCAAAAAATGTTATAAAAAAACGTAACTTCTTACCAAAGCCGCTAAAATTTTACACCCAATAAAGTTAACACCTTCTTCTTCACTATCTGCAAAGGCCACATGAAGATTGCTAATTTGACCAAGTCTATTATTAAGCATAAAATCTTTAAAAAATTCGCATATATCAGTGATTTCGACCGGTCTACCCAAAATTTTTTTTTCCGGAGGATCATAATTCATAGGTTCCATGTTCTCGGTTATTAAAATTCTTTTATCAAAAGAAACGAAAAATTCATCTCCATCTTAAATTATACAATAAAAATATTAAGAGTAATTACAAATTATGAAAAAATAATAAATTTATGATAATATTTACCTAAATCGCCTCCAGACTATTATATTTAAAAAATAAGTACATGTGAATTATGTAATAATGTAATATTAAAAAAAAAAAAAAATAGTTAAGTAAAATAAACATCACGTACTAGAAGGTTTGGTAGTGGTTTATATCCTTTTTGGCTAAAAACGACACAATTTTTTAAGTGTGACAATTCAGGAACCTCTACTGCGACAACTTTTCTGAGATCGCCGGGATGCAAACATGGGTTCCTTGTGATAACTGTAAAAATCAAAAAATAAATAAAAATAATCAATGCATTGATGTATTATAAATAAGTTAAAAAATTACCAGCTGGGCCTTTCCAGATTTTTTGCTCCCTCTGAATTTTTTCATGAGCTGTATCGAAAGTTTGATACTCGGAAACTATGGTGGATGTTTGAACATAGATTTCATTCTCTTCTAATATACCGGTTTCGTCAATAACGCCGATCAAAAGAAATGAATCAGGTACCAAAATTCGCGCTTTGCTTCGTAGCAACTTCAGTGTAAAAATACGCTTGCATTCCAAAAAAGCATTCAAAAATAAATCATTCTTCCTCATCAATCCCTAAATTAAATGAAAAATCTATTATTACATAATATTTGATAAGTTAATTAGAAAATATATTTAATACAAACCGCATTGATCATACTAATAATTGAACGTGTAATATGAGAACATTCTCGTGTTCCTGTACTACGCTTGACAATTTGACAGGCCTTATCCTCGTTTGTCATCATCAAATTAATATCCGCAAGCATTTCTTCTTGAAGGGTAATAAACACTTCATCTTTAACACCAAGTGTTGATAACAATAATACTATTTGACGATTCAAGTGCCCGGGCAATGGGCTTTTTACCGTTCTTACGATTTCTAAATTTAAAGAAGGCGCTTCAAATTTTTTTTGACTAGGGCGTATGTATAAAACGTTACCCTCTTCTTTGAGATTCGGGTCAACAGCTACAACTCCCTAAAAAAAATATTAAGATTAGACCAAGATATAATTATATATGACCCTTATTTTTCATACCTTACATCCACCTAATCGTATTTGGAAAACCGTAGGGATTTCTTTATCTTTTGTGTTTTTGGTTCCCCAGTATTCTTTCGCCGCAAGTTCTGCTAAGCCAGGGGATATTTTCCCACATCCGTCACTAAATACCAAATTATTTTTGTTTAATAAGAAATATATAGATTGAGTTTAACTAATAACAAACATATTACCTAAATTTAAAATCATTCTTTACAATTTCATCAAGTGGTTTAATTTGTTCGCGATTAAGTTCCAGTACCCCCATCGTGCTTGTGAAGCACTGACCCATACGGGCTGCATATAATGCGGGATTCTCAATTTTTCTATTTAAAAAATGATAGTTAAAACAATAACTGATAATGTTTGTAATTTATAAAAGCAACAAAAAGAATTTTCACTCACTCAAATTCCCCCATATTAGCTCGAATAAAATTGGCATTAAAATCACCATTTGAAGCAACGAACCAGCAAGATGTCTCTTTTAACTGAGATGAAGAGAAGGCTAAAAATTCATAATGTCTCCCAGCCAATTTAAATCCTTTATTTTTAATAGCCATAATTCGCTGTTCGATTATATCGACATCTTCGTCCTTGTTAACAAATAGCCTTTCAAAATTTTCTTCTCTGAAAGTGACTCGCAAAAAATAATCGATCTTATCCTTGTATAAACGTAATATACGATTCGATGATTCGTAATGAGGTCCATCATAGTAAATATTTGTTGGAGTTATTGTGGCATGATTTATCCATGCGCAACGTGAATTATTTATCAAAGAAATCGGCGGATGCCAACTCTTAAAATTCTTTATTACATTTTCAAAAATTGTTATCGGCCGATCTTTATGTCTTTCGTCAAAGGGATCCCAATATTTGGTACAGATTTGGTTCAAAGCATGCAAAGCCACATCTTCTTGGTTTTCATTGTGAATAAGTTCACTTAAACGTTCTCCTAATTTAAATTCTTCGATTTCGTATGGTCTTAATATTCCATATGAAATTAAACTTTCTAGTTTATAACATATATTAAACGGTAATAATTCGCAAAGAAGTTGAAATTGCTCTTCATATTTTTTTAAATAAACCGGTTTTTCCACGCATCTGATCATAATTTAGGGTATATGTGGAATACCTCTAAATCTAAATTTATCTAATGTATTACGTAACTCATCAAGATTATCTTTAAATATTAACCTATACACCATACATCTTCCAAAAACTGCTTCTGTCCAATCAACGGTTCGTATCCACTCAATAATTCGAGGCTGTTTTCTCAAAATCGGTAAAATCCATAATAACTGATTCACTTTTCCTTTACGATAAAGGTATGGCGGTATCTTTAAAGTTATGTAGATAGATATTTCATCGTCTCTCTGGTCGAGAATAATTCCCCGTGAATTTCCGACTAAAATGCGAAAGGGAATTTTAACACGTCTTAATACGGAATCTTGATCAGAATCTTTGAACCCTTCCAAAATAAAAGCTTCGTCTGTTTTTGAAAAGTATATCTGAGGCTTTTCATAATCTTCTGGGTATTTCCATTCACTTGAGAATGTGAAAGGTTGGTTATTATTACTCTTTTTCTTTTTCTTTTTATCAGTTACAGATAGCCAATTTCCGAGTTCCAAACTCGATAAAAAAAATTCTTCTTTGATATCACCCGCGTTATCGCTTATTGTTTCGGCTTTTTTTCTGGGTGTGGCAGGATATATATATAAAGGTCTTCCCATGCATATTGGCCGAACAAATGCCGCCTTTGCAATGCAGTTTTTCGCATCTTTCTCATTTTCAAAAACTACGTACCCGGAACCAACATTACAATTTTTTCGAGTTTTATGCATCTTTAGGTCACAATCATTTATGGGTCCATGACCATTAGATAATAAAGCTTCAATCAAAGTATTTTTATCGGCTTCGTACGGAATATTTTTTACGTATACTTTTGCCATGATAAGTACTAAAATGAGATTATAAATTGTAATATGTAATTATATTTTGTCTTTTTTTGTGGAGTATGGGAACAACAAAATCTTCCCAGTTTTATATCAAAAGCAACAAAAGCAACAAAAGCAAAAACTAAAACATTGGTAGTAACACACAATTGGGTTTTGTGATGAATAAATATAGCAATAATTTATCGAACAATAACCACATTTCTTTTGTTACTAGAATAGGAAATTTTTTCAAAGTCTTTGTAGCGCAGTTATGACTCATTATTCGCACCACATGATTATTGTATTGTTTACACGGGATGTGCTTTTGTTCCTACTTTTTGAACTTACATAAGTTTATCAATCTCATGATCAATACTTGAGGAACTCTACCTTTTCAGTTACGATAGTAGAGAGTAATAGCTCAAAACGAAAGCTACGGTCGATTTTACGAAAATTCTCCATATTCACAGCTTTTAAAACCTCGTTTTATACGAATATAAATTAGCGCTCGGGAGTCGCTTTCCACAGAAGAAATTGGAGGAATCTGCTGTAATGCCCAACATAATTGTTGAGTAGCCACTTACTGGAAATAACCTCAACCTCATAGAGTATTGTATGAATAGAAAGTGTGATTCTTCCCTGTATTTTCTGCTTATTTACTTTTACAATATATTGGTAATGAAACAAATCTCTCTCTGCTAGCGGCGCTTGAAGACGAGGTCTCAATATAAATCCGAAAATAAAAGTATTACGCTCTTACAGTGAGATCCTGATATAACAAAAGGGCACCTACTCCTAGTAATGACTCCAAATCTAAGAATGGTTTATTTATTATTTTTAATTTCTCCTTTCAGCACAATTGGGGCTACAGATGCAGTGGGTTAAGGGAGAGTTCACTGTCGTAAATCTTATTTCAGGATCTCCCGTAATCGTAATTTGATGATAAGAACTTGGTACTGGGTCTACATCATGTTATTACAATTGTTGACACTGTATTTTGTGATTACGGACAATCATCTGGGTTCTGGGAGTTCTAATTTAAATTCGAGGATAATATTGCAATATGTGTGATGTGAAATCTAAACGAGGTCTGAAGCACCTGGATTTTAATTAGCTAAAGGCTGTGAATAATGTGAATTTAATTTTGCACTTCAAATCAGATTATTTATTTGTTGATGTCTATATTTTAGCATTAAATTTTATTTGTAATGATAAAAAAATAAAAATACTAATAAAGAAGTGCTATTACTGATATGATGTACTACATTATATAAGCAACTTTTTATTATTTGATTTGATTAATTAACACGTGAAGAAAAATTATAATCTAGACGATAGTATATTTCAAACATCTTGTTTCTTTAAGCTACAATATTTCATTCCACATTTTTTACAAGCATAAGCTGAGACAAATACACGCACTGAACAAAATTTCCTTAGAGGATATCTAGATGGTTTGGCTGCCACTGTTAAATATGTTTGAACATCTTGAACATCTGGTGGTTTCTCTGCAATTTTCTAAAAAAAAAACGAAAGATTTTAATTATACATTTGAAATAATTTATTTATATTATCAATATATTCAATGTTACCGATTTATCTAATAAAGCTTTAAAGCTTCTTTTTGATGTTGATTTTATATGTTGACTTTTAGTTCATTTCGGGTTTCTATCTATAAAATAAATAAATATTAGTAAAAAAAATTAAATTTGAATGTTAAAAAAAAAATGATATAATTTACGTTCGTATCAGCTAAATCAGAAACACGACGCAGTTTTGAAATTGTTCCTGTTACAATTTCAAGTTCTGGTATTTCTTGATAACCAACTCATTCAAGTGAATTTCTATATATTTTCTTCGCGTTGCTTCGTCAATTTCTAATTTTTATAGGGTTATAAAGACATTTTTGAATGAAAAATTTGAGTAATTAGAATAAGGAAACGAATAAGTACCTTTTGATTCTTTTTTGACATTTTTTCGAGATGAAAAATACGGACGCCCTTTTTACTAATAATCTTTTATTCCACCTTGCTAATAATACCGTGCCAATTGGGCGTTTGTAACATAAAGGCAAATTTAATCGTTCTATATTTAACTACACTTTCTGGTATAATTCTTTTACCTTGAAAGATCACAATACAACTATAAGTCCCTCAATTCCTTAGGGAATTTCGTACCACAAACAACCCTAACGTAAGATTTTCCCCAACAATTTTATAAATTCTGAATCTGATGCAATATCAGCCAACAAATTCATGGAGATTTATAAAATAAATAGAATTTTTTCAAAGATCCATTATACCCCCTTTATTGTCGGGAATTTTTCAGGCTTCTTCATCTTCGGGAGCAAATTCATCAACATACGTACACTCTTATTCTCTTCCCGCGCGTTTGTTAACGTCATCCAGATAATCTCACAAGATGTTTTTGTTAAAATATGCAATTCGATCAGTGTAATGAAATAATTTAATATATGAACTTATGCATCAAGTATGATGAAATTATTTTCAACATATTATGCTTGCTTTTGATTAAAATACAATGTTACCACAGATGATAATTCCATCAAATTCCATTATAACATTTTCTTTTGAATCGGACATTATTTATTTTGTTGAAAATTTTAAAGAACCACCCAAATTTTCATAAAGAGCTTTTTTTACTGATTGAAAGTTTTTTTCTCCATTGCTTGGTTGCCTATGAGCCATTTCCTTTCTGATAAATTCTTAGGACTGATGACGTGATTACTTTTGAAAATTCATTAGAAGTATCAATTGGTTCTAAACCTTTTTCCCTCTACGGCATCAAATTCGTTTTGGTTACGCATTGAATATTCTTCAAATCCATCCAATAGTTCCCCTTCGTTATTATATTTTTGTATATAAACCTTCTAATATGACAAGGAAACAAAATGATGATAAGTAATGAGATCAATGACAAATTTGTATAAATTTGCATAGAAACAATAAAGGTTACATGTCACATTCATGATATGATGTAAAGTCTTACCAGTACTGCCAGCATTAGTAGTTTGATTATTAAAGGTGTTTTAGGAGTAAAGTTTCTTAATCCTGGATCAATAATTTCGTCATCTTTTTCTAAAATAGTGCAGCCAATGGTGACATTGGTAAATAAGATCTTTTTTAATTTGCTTTATAAGATCATTTATATCCTTTCCATTAAAATTAATTTTGGTCACTCGAGAATTGCCGTATTGCGAGCTTAATGAAATCAGTTGAGCCTTATATTTATCAAGGAATTCCTCTGGTGTTAGATTTATCTCCATTTTTGCCAAATGATCAAGGACAACATTTATAGACCAGCTTTCAATGTCTGAATCGTGAAAAAAGAAAGAAATTCCACTTGAATTGTTCATCTATGAAAAAGTTAGTTACAAAATTAAAATAACTATGAGGAAACACGGAATTGGCATCGACAAAATGGAATTCTGGAAAAAAGTTTGTCATACGAATCTAAGAGGATTACAATATAAATCGTAATGGGTCCTAGTAGGCGTGCGATGCCCTCCTTCCAAAGCATTGGCCGTAGGGGTCCATATAAATGGGTGGGTCCATACAGACATAGCATACAGACATAGGAATTCAATATAGTTCAGTATACTGGAAAAGAGTATGTCACACGAATCTACTATGAGGATCACAGAAGCAGTGATGGGTTCTAGTAGCCGCCTGGGTTTCGTCACGTGAAGTTTTTTCAGGGAGAAAAATCGAAAATATTGAAGCTTATAATCTCCGTCACGATTTATGTAGATCATATTCTAGAGTGCAATTCCCTTTTTCCAAGCATTGTGGTTCCATACAGACGTAGGATATTGTGTAATGCCAGAAAATATGTCAAAAAGATACTGAACTTCTGTGGTTGATGAAGTCTCAACATCCTTAACCTTTCTTCGTTTACTAGAATACTCTAAGTAACCCAAATATCAAAGAAAAATATGAAAATATATCACAAAAAAAACCGGGGAAAATGGAAAATTTTATACGTAAAAAGTAGAGAAAAAATGGAAAGGTTTATACGTAAAATGGGGAAATTATACGTAAAAAGCAGAGAGTAAGAGAAAAAAATTATATATTATTTTTTTGACAATAACTGATTAACAAATCTGAATCTTTCCCGAGTTTATATAGTCTAAGGTGACACAATTTTGAATCACATGATATAAATTGCATTATAAAAATAATGCCCATTTACCCATTTAAACATTTTGTCTAGTAATGATTTTATCCAAATTTGCTTGTTTTTTTTTTGTTTTTTGGTATTATTATGTAAAAAATAGAATTTTTGAATAAATTTACATTGTTATCCTATTCTTGTTAATAATTGGTCAGGTATTAATAAAGTTGACAAGATGTACGGCATAAATTACGCGTGAGCAATGTATTGCAAAGATATCGAGGGGCGACTAATTTTATAAGATCAAACTTATTTTTGAAATTGACGAACTTAATAATAATATTTAAATGATAAAATTTCACCAAATTATATAAATTATACTTTGTTATTATTATAATTATAGGCAAAAATCTATTAATTCATAATATTTAAGTATATTATGAATAATTTTTAATCAGAATTAATCAAATGACTAATTATTTGTCATTTAAATAATATAATTAATAAAATTAATGACAAATTATTACAGAATTATAAATTTAATGATTAAGAAAATAATCAAATATTATCATATAATCATAAAATTGGATATATAAAAGAGCTGGAAATCAATATTTATTACCTTCTCACTTTCTTATTTTTTATTGCAGTTTAACGAATCCTTTTCTCTTAATAAAGAACAAAAAAAAAAAAAATGTCTACTCGTACTAGAAGTAGTAAAAAAGATACTGGTGGTAAAAGAGATACTGGTGGTAAAAAAGATACTGGTAATAAGAAAATTCCTACTAGCAGAAGGGTATTAGTAGAAGAAAAGAAATCAATTACTTCAAGATCTGCAAGAGTATATTTATTTATTAAATGAATTATTTTAAAAAAGTTTTGATTTTTCTCATATATTTTATTAATAATATATGTTATTAATTTTTTTAGGCTGGCGTTCAATTTCCAGTTGGACGAATTCATCGTTTTCTTCGAAAAGGAAATTATGCATCTCATATTGGTGCTGGAGCGCCCGTTTTTCTTGCAGCAGCTATTGAATATTTGGTGGCAGAGATAATAGAACTTGCTGGTAATGCTGCTACGGATAATACAAAAAAAAGAATCAGTCCTCGTCATATTCAGTTGGCTATTCGTAATGATGATGAATTGAATAAATTACTTGAAGATGTTACAATTGCTCAAGGAGGTGTCTTACCCAATATTCACAAAGTTTTGTTACCACCACAAAAAACAAAAAAGAGTAAGTTTTATAATAAATAATATTTTAGTTTTTATTCTGATTAAATTAATTGATGTTAATCTTGATTAATAGGTGAAAAGGACAATCAGCCAGAAGTGGGAGTAGTCGAGAGAAGAAAATAATTTTTATGGGGGAGGTTTTTTTTTTATAATTTGATTATTTAGTAGAAAAATGGAACTAAAATTTAGTAGAAGAATTCGAATAAAAAATCATAGATAATGCATTCAATTACTCCCATATTAAATCGTAGTTTTTTTTTTCCTGATATTATGTAATGAATTCTTATTTTCTATAAAATTTGGATGATAATTATAAAAATCCAAGATGTGAATTATTTAGATTTTTAATATAAAAAATAAAGTGAAATTTCCGCTATCCGTCAGTCTGATCCGTTAAACGAATCATGGCGATACTAGTAACAATTTATTATGCCTGAATAAATTATTCCTTTTTGATCCTGTTCTTATATCGGATCTATCGGTTTAATTACATTCGATCGGTGTTAAATATAAAATTAATACTGTACATTTAAAAGTAATTACATTATTGAATATTTCAAACTACTTAACGATATCAATCTCTATCAAGAGTAGCTGATTCGAAAGATGAATACTAAAAATACGAACTTTATCACGTGATTGCGGATCAACTGTTATAGGTCATTAGATTATAGTGAATGCTTGAATGGCGGTATAAAAGAATAGATTTAAACATGTACTTTATATTCTCTATAATTATCAATTAAATCTAATCATTATCATGTGTTTATGAATTTCTGTTATCTACCATATCTAGTTCTAAAAAGCATCAATCGAATACTTCCAACTTTCACTAAGCATTATTTTTTTTAAATACCGTACTGCACTACAACTGATGCAAAATACCTGCTTAAAGTATTTTGTGTATCAGAATTAGAATTGACGCACTTTCTTGATATTTATATTGTATAAAGTCCATTGGTACAATTTCATCACATCATTTATGATTTATAATAAAATCTGTATTAAAAAAAAAACAATATAATATATATATTATTTGCTAAATTTAAATTTTAAGTCAATATTTTATTATTAAATTTTAGATTGGTACTCGGTAGCAATAATTAAAATACAAGATTATAGCACTACCTATATTATTCATTTTATCAATACTTCTGACAAATCAATGCGTTAAATTTACATTAAAGTACCAATATCTGTGCTTATTATGATCTCTTTCATATATTTATTAATTATTACTTTATGACCTTCCGTAATATAATATCCATCTTCGATCGCGAAATAAGATAAAATCCTTTCTTTACAGTTTTCAAAAAATCTCTCAAGACCATCAATTGAAATATTTCCAACTTCTACTAATTCTTATATCAGTTAAAGATTCTGGAAAAAAATTTGGTTAAAATATCTAATAACTCAACTACTATATTATTATCATTTATCATAAAATCTAAACTAAAAATCTTATATATTTTAATATTAATCTTTACATTAATAAAATCTTCACTCTTCAGGTTTTATAAGATGTGCCAGAATAACTTTTCAATCTTCGGACAATTATTGGCAATCGCTTTAGTTAACGTTTCTGCACCATCAGCAACTTTATCATTTGTACAAATATCAATATAAGAAATATTTCCTTTAGTTTTTTTCAATTAACCTTCTTTAAAATATGATAACCCATTGATAGTAAGTGAAAATTATAATATATATCATGAAGTTTATTTATTTAAGTTTAGTTATTGTATTGCCTTTTTTTCCAATGCTTTCGCTTAGTTCTCCTAAATGAAGTTCAGTTATTGTATTGCCTTTTTTTCCTAGTTCTTTGTATTTCCATTCTTATTAAGGTCGAATTGAGAATCAATTAAGGAAATTAATCCAGGAAACCTTAGATACAACTTTCGATAGTTAATTCACCTTAAACTTTTACATCTCAAATCATCAAAAGATTTTCTCTCAAAATCATTTTCATAATATCTATAACAACAGATTATTAAAGGTTAAAGGTATTGTTGATGATAAATTTAAATCATTATCTGATAAAATTTTGTTTGAATTGAATGAAAAAAAAAGTGTGTATTATATATATTCAAAGAGCTTTTTCACTCGATTCTCTCCAAAATATCCCATGAATGTTTTTTCCATAAAATTGGAATTAATTGTAATTCGATATGGCGCGATAAAAATAATCAATTACACGTGATTATGTTACGATTTTATAGAGAAACACCAATGAAAAATTGCGTCACATACTTGACCTCGTTTGCGGCGCAACAAAAAATCTAAATGTTCTTAATACGTATAACTTCTAAAATTCATTGGCTGCCCTGAAAGTTCAAAAAACTTTGATTCATTAAAGAAATGATCAGCAAAGAAACCCCATTTTTTTTATATAATTATATTAAAATCAAAACCGGCATTCGAAGCCTCCTTTTAAACTCAAAGTAAACTTGCAAGATCAGGTAAAAAAATATATATCTAAATATAATTTTATTTTTATATTAGAAGAAAAAATCTTTTATTTAAAATTTAATTTACCATGCCACTCAGAACCTGTTCAAATTTTAGGTGTGTTCAAGCCCGATACATTTGCTTCGCTACCCATCGCTACGCCCTGGATAATTACAAATTTGGAAATTGAAAAATAAATATTTACATGACGTAATTTAAAGTTACACATGATTGCATAAAGATCGATGAGCTTAAATTATTTTTTGATTTGACACATTGTTTTATCATTGATTTTTCAATCGTAGGCACGATTAATGACATCAACCCTGTGAGCCCTGGAGGAACCTTTTTAACCTTTACAATAAATGGTTTTAGTGTCAATGTTTCAGTGTTTTTGTATATTTATATGTAAATATACTAAAACATAAATTCTATAAATTTTCCCCAAAATCACTTCCAACTAAAATTTCTTAAGATGTACTTTTGTAATTTATTATACTGTAGTTACTGTAGTTATAATTTAGACTTAAATAATTATTTGAACAGTTTTAACATCCAAAAAAATATTGGCATCTTGATCAGATTTATTTAACACAAATGATACTCCTTTTCTTTTAATATTGAAAAATTGAAAAATTTTTACTACAAAGTATCAAATTTTTTATTAAATGATTATACTAATTAGAGTATATCAGTATAACCGAATAGGATAAGTAGTATCATATTAGATACTTGAAATTTTTGATATAAATTTTTGTTTTGATATTTTGTATATTAAAAGGTCAATAAATAATAAATATTTTTTTTTTAATTAATTCGATTCGTATCAAATAAATAATATTATTAAAACATATAAATAAATAATTTTTTTAACTTGTTTTTTGAACATGTTTTTCCATTTCAAGTTTTAAATATAAAATGATATTATAAAATCAAATTACATCCAAATCCAAAATGCTTGATTATGTGATTTCCTTAATAAACGTACTAAAAAAATGATAATAACAAGATTAGATTATTTTATCTAGTACGTACAATTTTTTTTTTAACAACAGATATATATATATACATATATTTGTACTTACGGGTAATAATTTCCATTTTACAACTTTTCCATATTCATCCCAATATTTTCCATATTTACCCTTACATCTAGCATCATCTCTCCAAATACGATGAATTAATAAAATAATCATATAAATAATGTAAAAGTAAGGCAATATATGATTAAATCCACAAGTAAGGCACATTGCTAATGAGATGAGTAAATCACCAACATAATTAAAATGTCTTGATATTCCTATAAAGAAAAAGAAATACACAAAAATTAAGAATCTTAATAAAAAAAATTATTTAAGAATACTTTGAATTACTTACCCCAAAAACCACTTGTAAGTAAAATACTTGAATGGATTTTTCCATCACTAGTAACAAATTGAGTTCTAATAAATCGAGCAGGTTTACCCCAAATCAAGCAATCACCATTTTTTATTCTAACAATATCTTTTTGATGATTTACGGCTCGGAAAATATAATAACCGGAAAGGCCAACTCCAAGGACAAATGAAAAGTAAGGAATAGATAGATCAATCGGATTACGAACTAAATAATGAGATTGAAGCGTATACTAAGAAGAAATCAGGAAGGTTATAATTAATTAAAAAATAATTTTTAAAGATTTGAGATTTTTAGAGATTTGAGATTTTCTTTATAAAATTTACCATCCATGGTAACCATACAGTATCACCCCATGCCAAATAGAATCCAAAATGATCATGAGCGATATCTTTTGAAATTTACAAGTTAATAATCTCGTTATATAAATCTAAAGAATTTATCTTCAAAAAAGCCTACCAATGGTCCTAAGATACCAATCCTCATTATAAAAGAAATCCAAAACATAAACGGCATGTAAGAAATTCAACAAAATCATTGAATTGGTTACATAACCTGAAATAAATCAATATCAATATATTGAATCAAATAAAATTAAAAATCTTTGATCATTTATTAATTCCTTACCAATTTTATTATATTGAGCAGCGGCAAAAGATAAATTAATTAATGTCCAAGCAATGATTCCAGGTCTGCCATTATGAAATAATTTGAAATCCCAATATTTTCCAAATCTTGGATTCATTTCAATACCCATTAACAAATCATAAATAAAACTTCCAGAAAATTTTCGATCTTCTGCATGAGAAGGTATTAAATATGCTTTGATAAACGAGAAGAAAGTAAGGAAATAACCATATATATTTGCGGCTATAAAAAGTTGACCCCATCGATCATGAATGATAGAAGCATCCCACCAATTAAAGTAGAATGCACCAACCAAAAAAAGAGTATGGGTAATAAACCAAGCCAAAAGTCCATTTACCTAATAAAATAAATAAATAAATAAATAAATAAGTAGGTAAATAAAAATAAGTAAATAATCACATATAAATAATTTACCTTATAAGGTAAAATATGACCAGCAGGAGTTCTCTGACCGTGACCAATTTTTGCTGGTAAAACAGCATAAAGTATTGCCTGAAAACTTAACCAAGTAAAATAAATTTTGATACCCTCCCACGAAAATTGAGGAAGTTTTTGTAAGATTATAGTTTCAAAAGCTTCCTTAGAGAAATCATTTGATTGGAGAAGAAAGACAGGCTCAATTATAGAACATTGATAATGAGTACAAACAACCCAAAAATAAATAACCAAAAGGGGACAACAAGTGAGAATAACGGTAGATAATAAAACAGTAAGATATGATATATCTAAATAATAATTTAGACTAGGATTAATTTGAATGATTTTTAAAGAAAAAAAAAATTATTTCTAAAAAAAAAAGAAGTATTTACCCCTGTCACGACCCCACGTTTTCCCGGTTTGAGCCTTCAGATTTACTATATTTTCTGAAGGCTCATTATCTTTTTCGTTAACAGCATTTCTCTGTCTTAATGAAGACATAAATGAAATAAATTTAAGGGAAAAAAAAGCGTAAACAAAAAATTTCGATCATCACACAAACTTTTCAGAAAGGTAAATTCAATGTGACACAGCATCGGATATAAAAATTTCCTATAATCATATAGATTAAAAAAAATTGAGAAAACGATTTTGATTTCTTTTTACAACTTTTAAACCTTAAAAAATTTATTACTAGATAACACGACGGCTAAACTGTCGGATCTATAACTTTATTTTATGCAAAATTTAATAAGTCGTAATTTATCCGAAAGAGTTCACTACAGTTACATATTACTTGTAAGCATTCTAGATTTCGAATTTTTGAAAATTCTTAAACACCAAATAATCAATCTTTAAAGGCATAACCGAACTGTAAATACACCCATTGCATTTTCCTAAAATTGGATAAAACCTGTTGTCTTAATGAACTGTTTGACTGTTTGACAGTTACAGTACATAATATATATATTTTGGTTATCTTTTATATCAGTTAGTTAAATTTAATTTTTCTTAGTGATTTCTTTTTCAATTAAAAATTCCAAATTACTTTGTAACATCAAATATATTCCAATTAATTCAATTAAATTAAAATCATGGTAAAATCATAATATATTATTGGTAAAAAAATAATAAAGTTTCATTTTCATCATATTTTTTTTTTTGGATTGCATGGAAAAAAAATGGATGTTTATCCGTACATATATGTTTAAATGAACGATAAAGAAATAAACACATGGGCTATGTTAATTTATTCAAATGTCAAAATTTGTAATGAAACTAAATAAAGTAATAAATTTCAAAACAAAACGGGATTTAATTAAATCTTGAATGTAGCACATAAAAAATTGAAAAGTTGACAGCTTTGATTAAATTTATAAATAAATGTTGAATGTTTATCTTTTTTTTCGGGTTCTCTTACACAAAATTTTAAATTATGATCCCGTAAATCGTATAATTTAGTTGCGCGAACTTTAAGAAGAAAATGCACGTCAAATTAGTTGGAGTAAATCATTTCCCTGTATAAACTATCATAACTATCATTATCTCCGTTTTTTTCCGTTTAAAATGATGCTTTATACTATTGAAAACACACACAAAACATATATATAACATTGAGACTTTGACACAAATAAACTTGTTTGATTTTTTTTTTTTTTTTGTATCTCAAGTTTATTTCTCTCTCTCTATCTCTCTATCTCTCTCTTTCTCTTTTTCTTTGGTCTTTACATTTATGTTTGCGTTCAAAAAAAAAATTTTTATATAGATATAAAGTTGAATAAAATGGAAAAATGTCTTTTATTTTGGAAAGTTGACAGTTGACAGTAAACGCGTTAGAAAATAACGAAAGATGAGGAAAATATGAAAGCAAAATGAAAGAAAAATATTTACCTCTTTTTTTTTTATTTTATTTTATTTTATTAAAAGGAAGGAAGGAAGAAGATGTATATATATAACGTGACAATTTTTTTTTTTTTTTCCTGAATCAAACATGGATTTCAAGAATGCGGATTTCAGGGGGAGGGGGTTTGCAGCCTTATTAACACGGGTGTAACAAGCCCTTCCGGTCAAGGAATTATTTTTTTCTTTTTTGTTTTTTATCTAACATGTTCTCCAAAGATGTTTTACGTTTTTGGTGAAGAATACTAATAAAGGATATTGGGCGTTTGGGGAAATTTAAANGGCAACGTGACGTGAATAACGTGACAATTTTTTTTTTTTTTTCCTGAATCAAACATGGATTTCAAGAATGCGGATTTCAGGGGGAGGGGGTTTGCAGCCTTATTAACACGGGTGTAACAAGCCCTTCCGGTCAAGGAATTATTTTTTTCTTTTTTGTTTTTTATCTAACATGTTCTCCAAAGATGTTTTACGTTTTTGGTGAAGAATACTAATAAAGGATATTGGGCGTTTGGGGAAATTTAAATAATTGTGGAGTAAAAAAAAAAATAATAATAAAACTGCGGGGAGAAATCCATAATCCATTGTTCTTACGATGGATTGAGATTTTTAAGGTTTCATTGTTATGATCAAATGACCAAATGATCAAATGATCTTTGAAATTTTATACCAATTGTAGTCATTTATTAGGATTTTGGAGGCACTAAATGTATTACAACATGATTTTATTTTCGGTTACATAAAAATAAAAAAGTAATGGTATCAATGTAAATCTTTTTTTTTCCCATTAAGTTCAAATTTTTTTTTTTTTTTTTTTTTTTATAGGAATTATGAATTCTTATGTGGAAGGAAAACCAATAGCACCACCATTACCATACGAATCTATGGTAGAAATATTAAACCATCTAGAAAATGATATAAAATCATTACATTCGTGTGTATTGGTTAATCGACATTGGTGCCGAGAGTCAATGTCTCACTTATGGGTTGAACCTTTTACCAAAAAATTATCGGATAAATCAATACTTTCTTTATTGGAAACATATTTCAGATGTTTAAAAGATGAGGATAAAACTTTACTCCGAATAGAAGTTGGGAACATTTTACCGACAACATCAACAACGAGACCATTTTTTAATTATGCATCATTTTTAAAAAAATTAAATACTAGATTATTAGGACATTCAGTAAGTGTTTTGGTAAATTTGGAAGAAAATTTATATTCATGTAATAAAAATAAATCAGAGATAACAAATTTGATGTTAAAAGCATTATATAAATTATTTATTGAAAGTGGTGCAATATTAAATAGTTTAACTTTAGATGTATCATCAGGATCAATGGATATAGCAGCAAAAATTCCATTATTTAGAAAAAATTTAAATTTTATATCAAATATAAGAAAATTAAATTGTATATTTAGTAATCCATCATCAGAAATATTTTATAATATGAGTGATTTATGGGATGAATTACCAAGAATTTGTACAAGGATAAGAATATTAGATATTGATGCAAATGACATGCATTGGTCAAGTGGTCAAACCTTGGCAGATTTAATAAAATCACAAACGGAATTATCAAATGTTAAATTTAGATCTTCTGGTAGTAGGGTTACTTCAGCTATTGCTATGTTGGCAAAAAAATCTGATACTTTAACATCACTTGAATTTGAATATATAGATTTTCGTAAAGTATCATTAGATGGTCTTGAAAGTTGTACAAAATTAGAAAAGTTAAGATTCATTGGCGCTAATAATTGTAATATTAATACTTTTCTTCCGTTAATTAATGCAAAATGTAAAATTAAGACTTTAGAATTAAACGAAATTGACGATTCACAATCTTTGATAACACTTTTAGAGAATGTTGGTTGGAGTTTGGAACATTTAATTATACATCCAATTATAAATTCTCTCATGGAAATTTTACCAACTTATTGTCCTAATATCACTTATTTAAATATTTTAGTAAGTTCCCCTTTCATACCTCAATTATTATCATTAGTAAGTGGTTGTCAATTGGAATATTTAGTTATAAGAACAAATTCTATTAATGACTCTGAAATAATCGTAAATGAAATGGGTAGAGTTATTCCTTCATCTTTACATTATTTAGAATTTTTAATGCCTTTAACTTCTAGTCAATTGAATACTTTTCTAATGGATTGTCAAGCTCCTCTGAAGACACTTATAGTAGATTCTTCTCCTTATATATTTTTAACCGATTCTCATATTAATGCGATTAGAAATTTTACTATAAGAAAAGGTACATTAAAATATGTTAGTATCGGTATTGGAGGTCTTAATATAGATCATGATCGTTTGTATATTGAAGAAATTGGTAGATATCTAAATTTCTTACCTGTAGATAAAGTTATGGTGAGATATTAAAAAAAAAACAAAAAAAAAGTTGGGAAATCGTATTTTGGAGATTTTTTTTTTTTTTTTTTTTTTTAT